AAAAACAACTTGAAGAGGAAAGATGGAAAAAAGTAATTGTGGTACACACAAATTTAAATGCTACGATAAAAATATCAGCAAAGTGGTATGAACTAGCATATCTGAACATAAAACAATTGCCAAATTAATAGATGAAGATGATAATTGTGATTAATAATCTGGAAATCAAAACAATTGATTGATAAGCGTTCAAGAGGCTTGTTTTCACAACCCCTACTCCTACTTCCCCTTAAATATAGCATTTCTATTTCTCTTTTTCCTACTGCTCTAATACCATTTGCTAGGAATTAGCATGGTTTCTGACCAGATTACAGCTCTAAATATGGCAGAAATTAGGGAAGAATGATGATTATATTGATAATAGGTGAATTACACTAATAGAAGGATAATTCCACTTTTGAGAGGTGGATTCTCTCCTAATATGAGCTTTCGAGAGGCTCACTCTCTCCCAATAACATAACCTCAACAATATTCAACATGATGATTATTCCTCCTAATGAGGTCTATTTATAGAAAATACCCCTAACAAACCTCTAGCTTATTCCCCAAGTTACTACTAATAGACTATGACTAATGTGCCCTTCTCCTAAATATTGATTCCTTGCATTACCCGTCGCTCAAACTTTCACCTTGTCCTCAAGGTGGTTTATAATCGGAACTGGATTCCCGACCTCGGCTACAATTCTCGACCTCGGCAACAGTGACTGAGAGTGGGCTGAGAGTGGGCTGCAATTATCTCCAGAAATTGATGAAATAAAAAGCTGGCTTTTATGGGTTAAAGAGTTGGGCCATATAAGAAGTGAAGGGATGAGGTGAAAGGCTAGAGAATGGTAATTGACTAATTGGGTAATGAGTGTTGGAGAAGGAAAGTTGGGCCTTAAGTCAGTAAGCCCATCTTTTGTACTTAGGTTAGTCTGCTGGCCTTTCATCACGTTTGTAGCATGTGACCAAAGCTGATTTAAATCCTTTGTATTTACTATAAGTTGTATTACCAAAATACCCTTACTAGCATATTCCATTTCTGCCTTCCTCTCCAAGCCAACCAAAGACCCCGTCAAGCTTCCCTCATACCCCTCTCTTTCTAGACACTTCTGGAAAACACCAAGCAGCAGCAGTTCAAGATGTCCACCATTGATTCTGCCGCTTACCAAGGGCCCTGTACGGCTGCTGACCAAGGTACCTCCATCCAGATCACTGCCACCGGAAAATCCACCAGAGATATCACCATTCCTCACCCCACTACACAACTCAACGTTCATAATTTCTGGCCCACTAGCAGCCCCTTGTCCACACTCACTACTCCAACAACCTACAACACCACCTGTCTCGCCGGCATAAAAACCAGGGCCACCACCAGACCCGCTCCCTCCGGCACCACCACGATCGAACATTCCTCTTGGCGATTCTCGTGGAAGACTAATACATCCATTACTCTGTTTTTCACCGGCAACACCTCCTTGACCCTACTTTTCCGGCCACCGTATCTACCAGCGGAAAAATAACTTCCACCTCCGCTACCACCACTCAGAGACTGTCCAAATCTACTTGTCTTAGCATCACTAAACCAAATTGTTGAACTCTCAAGTCCTCCCTCTGACATCTCAACAACCGTGCCGCTGCGGAAACCACCAAATAGGCCGTCGGTAGCAGAGCAAAAATACTGATTACCTTTGTTTATCTCCAAATCGGCTTTCTCCGCCATTGCGCCACTAGAGAGGCCGCTCACGCCGGAGAAGAAGTACCGATCAGAACTGGAGATTTCTAGTTCCTCCACCATCTTTTCCTCATGTGATGTAGGTTCCTCCTCACCACATGACAACTCGGAGGTGGCTAACTCCTGTTCTTCTTCCTCGAAGTCTTCTTGAATTACACCTATCCCTGATTTGATCCGAGAAATTGCATCCTCAAAAATCTTCTCTATGTTCTGGCACAATCGATCTGTAATTGCATCTATCTTTGCCTCAATTTCTGGCCGTGAGAACATGTCAGAGAACTCACTATTCACCGGAACCTTCACCTGACTTCCGGCAAGGTCACCGAGGACCGAACTGCTCTAATACCATTTGCTAGGAATTAGCATGGTTTCTGACCAGATTACAGCTCTAAATATGACAGAAATTAGGGAAGAACAATGATGATTATATTGATAATAGGTGAATTACACTAATAGAAGGATAATTCCACTTTTGAGAGGTGGATTCTCTCCTAATATGAGCTTTCGAGAAGCTCACTCTCTCCCAATAACATAACCTCAACAATATTAAACATGATGATTATTCCTCCTAATGAGGTCTATTTATAGAAAATACCCCTAACAAACCTCTAGCTTATTCCCCAAGTTACTACTAATAAACTATGACTAATGTGCCCTTCCCCTAAATATTGATTCCTTGCACCTACACTACCCTTCCAGTAAGGCTAGTTCAAAACACAATCATTCCTACAATTGCTTAAGCTCATTTTAGACACAAAGGCTTCCTGGTTGCTTTTTACCACAACGTCCACAAGGCTAGTATTACAAAGAGAGATGATTTCAAAATTAACATTAAACGCTCCCTTGCAAGTATTAATAAATCAACCATATTTTTCATAAAAAACTTGTTCAAACCTAGCCAAACACCAAAGCTTCAGCTCTTGGACACAAGCACATAAGTTCAACATAATAGAAACCAAGGAAAGAACAAATGCAATGAAAGTGCTTTGACAAATATCTCTCTTAACTATACCATCTCTTCTCCTCATCAAGTAACTTGTTAATGATCCAAAGGCTTCCTTCAATAGCAAATACACTCTTGGACACAAGCACATAAGTTCAACATAAGGCTTCAGCTCTTGGACACAAGCACATAAGTTCAACATAATAGAAACCAAGGAAAGAACAAATGCAATGAAAGTGCTTTGACAAACATCTCTCTTAACTATACCATCTCTTCTCCTCATGAAGTAACTTGTTAATGATCCAAAGGCTTCCTTCAATAGCAAATACACTCTTCTTCGAGCTTCAACCATAGGAGCAAGCATGACAAAATAGTTGAAGCACAAAAGTGTAATAGGCTTCATATGACATATTTTGGCAATCATAAAGATTAGTAAGATATGTCCCATGGTATTAATCCTATCTGATGCTCAACAACATCCACTTCATCAAAGTGGTAATAATTTCCACTAATATTTCAAGACTAATCTTCATAGGAGCTATCCTTTGGATCTAGCTATCCAATGATGCCACGAAGGACAGGTCTAGAAATTACTAATTAATTAAAAAATTTCTTAAACAAAAAGCAAAGGTGATAGAAAAATAGAACCGGCAATTTATGGCAAATGAAGGGCAGATAAAAAGCCACCATATGGGACTTCCAATAAAAAGCAACATGTGACTACGTCACAAAGTAAACAAACATTACATTATTTATTCTTCATTTCAAAGAAATTGTTCAACCTCTTAATTGAGAAAGTGTATTTCAGAAAATTTACGAATGAAAATTTTTAGCACTCAGGTTGAGTTATGGAAATTTTATCCACATGAAACTCATGTGACAGACGATGTTTACCAAACAAACAAATTTGATGGTTTCAAATTAATTGAATAAGTGCAACATAAAACAGGTAGGTTGGATCAATGGACTCTAGCATGATGTAATTGGCTTGCAACAAGTGACCAAGGCTTACCAAGTTATTCAACCATATCAATACTAGGGTACAATTAATTCATTTAATAGTTCTCACATGACATTTATCCTTAATCAATCAGCAATATCACTCACTGGTACATCACTAATTTAAATTGATCTTTGAATATTGATCTGAATGTCAAAAGCTATGCACCTAGTTTACAAATCCTTAGAGAAGAGATTCCATGAAAATTCTACTTTCCCCATTTCTCTTTTACTTCAGTCTATCTTCAAAACAAATGTCTTAGACAGAGGGGGTATTTGGCAATTGGCTTTTTGCCTAACTTTTGGCTTTTGGCTGTTTAGTTTGGTCAAACAGCCAAAGAATATGTTTGGTAGTTGGCTTTTAAGCTAGCTTTTCCGCCAAAAAGCCAAAAGCTAATAAGAGTAGCTTTTTCTATTGGCTTTTGGCTTGTTGGCCCACTTTATCACTAATAAACAGCTAACAATCATTAATAATTTTACCAAATTCTTTTGTAAACAGCCGGCCTAAATAATAACTTATAAAGCCAACTCATACAGCTAATACTTCCAGCTAGTCAAACAAGCCAAGCAAACAAGCCAACAGCCAACCGCCGATTGCCAAACAACCACTCTTAGTAGTTCACTAATTCTTTGTGCATTTATTGTACATTCCAATAATGCTTACTGCTAGTGGTCCTTCGTCATTTGTTATTTAGGGAAATCAAGGGGAAATGGACAGAAAAATAAGAAAAGGCCACGCTCAAGCACAACTCCACACACAGTGTATGTAACACAACTACATTCTATTTTTGACATATAAAACACAGCTACATCGCTCATGACACACATAAGGAAGCAATAGCATTTACACACAAAATCACATGTCCAAAGACACAAAGCTTGACTTTTATCACATCTAACATAGTTTAATTAGGGTTGTGTCATTGAATGACACCCCTACATTCCAATAAAAATTGTGAAATCCTTTAAATCCAAAACAAAATCAGTCCCACAGTACTCGTTGAACAAACATAACAGAACATAAAGTTTTATTGATCTACCTTCTGCCAAAAAATAGAGCAGCTACAGCATCAACCATCATTAAATAGACATATACTTAAAGATTCCAAATCAACCCAATACTTAATTGAAAATCAAAGCAAAACCCACATCAAAAGCAAAAGAACCCAATCCAATCCAACCCAACCCAACCCAAGTCATTCTATCATTGAAAATTAAGACTAATAAAACAACACCCATTATTCAAAAATCAATGATTTAGAGTATAAATAGATTAAAGATGGGAAATAAAAAGAAATACCCAAGTAGGCGATTATATATATATATAAGAAGAAAAAGAAATACCCAAGTAGGCGATTGATCTTGAAACTCAGTGGTGAGATGAAGAAGAATGAGAGGAAGCATAGAACTGACTGTAGATGGTTTCGCCGACGAGGTAAACACAGAAGGCGCCGACACCTAGACCAAGGCCAGGAACAGCGTGACGGAAACGGAGTTGGTTGCTGAGAGTGGGGTGCTTCCTCCACTCATCGCGTCTCCTGAAGAATTCACCTGTTGACCCCAAAGGCTTCGCCATTTTTTCAATTTCTCTCTCTTCAACAAAACACTTTTCTGGGACTGGGACTTTTAATTTTGGTTTTGGTATGATGAAATTAGGGGCGAAGAACGACAATACTATAAGGGTGTGGGGATTTTGGGCTTTTGCCTATTGTTTATAAGCTCGACTTGAAATGTTAAGCGTATGAGTGTATGACATAATGGCCATGTTTGGTAATTGGCTTTTTAATGGCTTTTTGGTTAGCTTTTGGTTTTTGGTTTTTTAAGGTGGGTCAAACAGCCAAAAAATGTGTTTGGTAATTGGCTTTTAAGTCAGCGAAAAAACTGGCTTTTAAGCCAAAATGAAAAAGCTGCTTTGAGTAGCTTTTTTGTTGGCTTTTGGCTTGTTGGCCCACAAATTATCTAATAAATAGCCAACAACCACCAATTAATTTACCAAACACTTTTGTAAACAACCAACTTAAACAGCCAATTTCAAAAGCCATTATAAACAGCCAAACATTCCAACTGGTCAAACAAGCTAAGTGAACCAGCCAACAGTCAACCGCCAACAGCCATTTGCCAAACAAGGCCAATATCAATTGGAAAATTTGCAAATTGCAGCCATTTAAAGTTCTTATTTTGCAAATTGCAGCCATTTAAAATTTTTTTTGCAAATTGCAGCCCAAAAGTTCGTATAAATTGTAAATTGCAGCCCGATTCAATTTTTTCATCGGTTTACATGTTGAAAAATCTTCGGTTAAGGTTTTAGGGGTCATTTTATTCCTTAGGGTCCCAAATTGAGCTCAGAATTAGCAAAAAAATAACGTAAGTGTCTCATATTTACAGTTTCCCACAAATCGATACATTTTTGTTATGCAAAACGAGATACTTACGTTATTTTTTTGCTAATTCCGAGCTCACTTCGGGCCCTTAAGGGCTAAAATGACCCTTAAAACCTTAACCAAAGATTTTTCAACTTGTAAATCGATGAAAAAATTGAATCGGGCTGCAATTTACAATTTATACGAACTTTTGGGCTGCAATTTGCAAAAAAAATTTTAAATGGCTGCAATTTGCAAAATACGAATTTTAAATGGCTTCAATTTGCAAATTTTCCCTATCAATTCAACTTAGCCCAAAAAAGATGAAATGGGTGGAACACCAAAAAAAAAACAAAACAAAACAAAACAAAAACAAAGACAAAATAATAATAATAATAATAATAATAATAATAATAATAATAATAATAATAATAATAATAATAATAATAATAATATATATTTTTTCTCTATGAGTATTACGGAGTACTAAAATATGTTGCTGGTATTAGACTTGGTCTAACTCATACTCGATTACCCACTTCATATATAAATTTGACCCAAAATAGCGACTCGAATTCCCAATCTGATTGGATCCGACCTGATTTTTGACCTGATATCTGAAGTGGCCCATCCCGACTACTTCCCAAAACAAAGTCAATCCAAAAAATCGAAATGATCCAACTCGAAGTTACCCCATACCCAAATAGACTCAACCTGTTTTTAACCCGAATTAATTGACCTGATCAAACCCAAAAATCGAAGTGAACCGAACTAAAACTACCAAATATCCGAAATGACACGAACAAAATATGTAATACCCTAAATAACCGAACCTATTTTAGCCCGAATTACTTGACCAGCAAACCCTGATAGAAAATAGCTTGAACAAAAAAAGGGCCACAAATGTAAACCATAAGTATATAATTTGGATATTTTATGTATTCATTTTCTTCCACCCCTTTTCTTCATTGAGTTATAAGTCTAATAGAGGAATAAACTAGTCGTTAATTGCCTATCCCAAAATCAAACACTATTTATAAAATCCTAAACCAACCTAAAACAAGTATAGGTAAGTATAGGGTCGAACCCAAAGGAGTTAGTTGGTGTTATCTTTAGCCTAAATCAAGCTATTTCGGAGATTAAAGTGAGAAAATGGTTGGTGTTATGATAGCAAAATTAGACTAATCAAGTAATTCAATAAGCTAAATGCTAGGGATATCGGTTCCACATGCTAATTCAATAATCGTGCTAATCGACAATTTCTTCGTTTGATTCAAGCATTGCAAAGGACAAACAATAGTAGCAATCAAGAGAGTTCAAGAGCTATCTCCTAGAGGCCAAACTAGGGGTCACTATGAATGGCTAATCAAGGAAATTCACAATCAAACTCAATCAATTAAAGCAATTCTCAAATTTATGGGTCATGTCATTAAGAAATGCAATGCAATCTAGATTAATCTTATAGGTTGATCATCCCTAATCTAATTAATCACATGCAAACTATGTCAACCAATTTAATTGCAACAATTCAATCAATCAAAGATCATCAACTAGCACAAATTATCAATCAAGCATGCTTCCCCTTCTCCCTAGCAACTAATCTACTCACTAATCATGGTGTAACTCAAGAACAAATTACTAGAATTAGCATTGATCATCATTCTAAATCAAAATCAAGAGAAAGCAATATCAACTACAATATCCAATTCAAATCCAAGCAATACAAGCAATCAAAGATGAAACTAAATCTATCAAGAAAGAGATGAACTAGAAGAAGAAATCTTACTAACATTAATGATTGAAAATGAAGAAATCCAAGCACAATTAATCCAATGTTGAAATACAAATACAAAACCAAGAACTTCTCTCTAACTTCTCTCTAACCTCTCTCTCTAAAATTAAGCTAATGAGAATTATCTAAAAGTTATCTTCAAAAAGGAATTACAAGTGTAATTATAGGCAAAGAAGAAAAATGGGATTCCCGCGCCCTCTCCAATAAACCCCGCGCCCGCGGAAAAATGGGTACGGAACCCATTAAAAACTCCGTGGGCTTTCTGGGCAACACCCGCGCCCGCGGCAAAAGCGCGGCGAATCCCCTGCTCCCAAAGGGTGATCAGAGGGTCGAGGTCTCTCTGGTACGAGCGGGCTCTCCAAACTACCCGCACCCGCGGCAAGCCCGCGGCCAGACCGCAGAGAGTTCCTGGTCGAAATCTGCCAATTTGGTGCATAAGAGCCCGCGCCTGCGGCCTTCAGTACCCGCGCCCGCGGTAGACTGGCAGGGCTTGATGCCCTCTCTGAGCCATCTCCAAGCCGATTATTTCCTCCTTGCTTAGTCAATATAGCCCATCTTGATTCCCTTGAAGAGACAAATCCTAGGTACCTACAAAAACAAACAACGAAAAGGAATAAAAGGGAAAAAGAACCAAATAAAAGGAAAACACGAAGAAAACACGAAAAACACAAGGAAAGAAAGAAAGAAAGGAATTAAAGGAAACAGGACCAAAAATAAGATAAGAAAGCATAAAAAGGAAGATGAAATCATCCTAAAAGACTACCCTATGAGTGCCATAAATGACACTCATCAAATTCCCCCAAGCTAGACTTTTGCTCATCCCGAGCAAAACAAAGGCTAAAAAGGAAAAAGAAGGGCTTATTCAAAATAAGAAAAGAAAAAGAAAGAGGTGAGAATATACACTAACTCACTTTCGTAGGAATCACGGTCAATTTTAGCAACAAAAGACAAGCAATTTAAACCCCTAGATCGCTCTAGAGGACGAGTGATGCTCTCGTAAAGGTTTCCTAGAGATAACCTATAACTCTTATTAAACAAACAAAAGAAGAAAAAATGAGGCAAAATACAAGAATAAAGAGCAAATAATGAAAAACAAAATAAAAATAAAAAACTTTGTGAAATGGACTTTACAAAGTGACTATAGTTCAAATGAATAATAACCTTTCTAAAGTAAGTAATGGTATGCACGTTATAAGATACCTAAGGTTGATTGAAACATGAATATGCTAAGCATAGGAACTAGTTGTCACACTCCACTTTCATCCCAAACGATCTTACCGCGTTCCCCCTACTAATCTCATATCTCCCCTTAGTGAGCGTCTCATAGATTCCACGAAGGAACCGGAAAAAGATCGAATTTTTGGCTTACTCGACATCTTGACTTCGCATCCCCTTTCCTTAGGCTATAACCCATGATTCCCTCCACCGATGAATGACTCAACCCCTAGGTCAAAAGGTCCTCCCAAAGGTTGTAACGTAAGGCAAAAAGGGTTAAGGTAGGCTAAATTTAAAATTTGGTGGTTAACCTAAATTGTGAAGCAAAGATTGGCCAAATCTTAACACCAAAATCGAGTAATCACCAAACAAAAACATATTAACACCCCCAAGCTTATTCAAAGCAACAATCTACAATCATAAGAACAAAAAGCGGAAACGCTTTCCCCCCCAAGCTAAAAGGAGATTGTCCTCAATGCATAAAAGGGAGAAAGACACTTGAATTTTTATGGTTTTTTTTTGTTTTCTGATTTTTTTTTTGAATTTTTTTTTTGAATTTTTTTTTTGAATTTTTTCTTACTTTATCAAAGCATTAGTCCTTGCCTTTTTATTTGGGAAGGCTTTTACTTAGTCATTTGCCATTATTTTCCAAATATAAACAACTCAACCTTGTTCACCAATTCGAACCAAAATCCAAACGTATACACCACAATCTTCCAACATTGACCATTGCTTCACAAAAACCAAGAGAAAATGAAAATGAAACAAAAGGCTCAAGAATTCTAAATATGTGGCTTGAAAAGAAGGGAAAAAAGTTCAAAGAGCTAGCAAGTAGGCAAATGTATCCTAAACCCAAAAGTAAAAAAAAATAAGGAAACTATCCTAGAAAAAGGAAAAATACCTCCCCGAAAAGATGTCTTTGTCCTCCCTAGGTGGTTCGGTCTCGGTCTTAGGAATCATACGTTAAGATTCAAGATTAAGTTTGCGAAATTCAAGGATCCATGCCGCTCATGCAAGAATATGATGAAAGCTGAAAAAAGTATGAATCTCACATGGTTGTAGCAAAACCTCACTAAGGTTGTCAAATCGAAGATAGGGAGAAACTACCAACATGCCACAAACAAGTAGAATCCGGCTTCATGATCCCCCTAGTTCTAGACAACTACCCTAGCATGCTTTATCCTAGAATCAACCAAATGTATTCTCAAACCGTGCATACCATGACCACCTAGTAAGGTTATTATCCAAAAGAAAGAGTCCATTGTTTACACATCCAAGTCAAAAAAGAATGAAAGAGTGAAAAATAAAGCCTCAAA